CCTTATTCTTATTTTTCTTCTCAAGCTTCTTTTCATATTTATCCAAGCAACTGAGTTCTTACTCGTATACTTCAAGCTTACCAAAAAGTATCGTGAGATCAAGTGTTTCAAGATTATTAGCTTCCTTGATCGCGGTGACCTTAGGTTGCCAACAAATAGTAAGACATCTCAAAATTTTATTAGTATCAATATCATTGGAAATAGGATTACCTAGTAAGTTCAAACGATTAATAATATGAGAGAATCTCTTTTGCATATCCGCAATGTTTCACCATTTTTCATTTGAAAGAGTTCAAACTTTGAGTGAGTGTATTAATCTTAGCGTGTTTGGCCTTAATAGTTCCCTCATGGGCAACTTGTAGAGTCTCCCACATAGCCTTAGTGGTTTTACAATGGAAAATGCGGTATAACTCATCAACACCAAGTACGAATATGATGATGTTCTTAGCTTTCCAATCGTAAGACCACTTTTTATTATCATTCTCATCCCATAGATTTTCCGGCTTAGGCATAGTAATACCATCAATTTCTTATGTCACCATTGTTGGAATATTTTTAATGGCTTATCAAACACCTTTGTCATATGATTTGATATAAATTTGCATACAAGTTTTCCAATAAGTATAATTTTCTCCCGTGAAAATTAGAGCTCTCTTATGATCTCCCTTAGGTTCGTAAGCCATTTTCTAAAGATCGTTCTTAATCTGGAATAAATCGGGCTCTTGATGCCACTTGTTAGACGATGGTGCGTATCTAGAGTAGGGGTGAATAGAGGCACAAAAAACATTTCTAGACACAAATCTAGAATTTAATTGGTTTTCAAATTTTTTTGATGCAGAAGCAATTAACTGGATAAGTCGTCTAAAAAGCAACTTATTGGAAACTCGGATATATAAATTATGAAAGATAAATCTATGAGATAAAATTGAGTAATTTATTAGTACAAAATCAAATAAACAATCAACTTATTTATTGTTTGAACATAATTACTTTGCAATGTTATTTCCAAGGCTAAATAATCAAAGAACTAACTTGATCGTTTTATCAAATACTTGGCGTGCAGGTGAATTTTCAGAATTTCTCTTTGAGCAGTGTTGATATACAAAACCACATATAATCAAAATTGATTATAACATATATCCACACCTATTTCAAAAACATATTTTGAGAGAAAAATTCTTACAATTCAATTACTATCACAATGCTATTTGATAAAAAGATTGATGAAATTGAAAGAAAGTAAAAGCGGAAAAGTAAAAACACATAAGGAATTTGTCTACACTGTTCCCCATTGTCGTCCTCGCATATGGGTATGTCTGCACCTAATTCTAATGGAACTAGGATAATTCTTATACGCAAAATGTTTAATACAATGGAAGATTTAGAAACAAAAATACAAAATTCTCCAATTTGGTGTTGATGCTCATTCTTCCAACCTTTGATCTTAATCAAGATAGAATCAACCGATAGATGCAATCTATTCGCCGTTTAAGCTACTTCCTTAAAAGGATTTCAAACACCTCAAGGTTTCTTGAAAAGATTTCAAACACTCCAAGGGAGTTTTCACTCGAGTAAGTCCGATTGCAAGCTATTAACACAAGATCACCGATTCTATCATCCAATTCTTGCTACTTCCTTAAAAAGATTTCAACCACTCTAAGGTTCCTTGAAAAGATTTCAAACACTCCAAGGAATTTTTTCACATGGACGATTCCTTCTCACACAATCTTGCATGAAACCCCCCAATTCAACAAATGATGTTGGAGGACAAACCTGATGGTTTTTCCGGATGAAGACCCCTACAAGATCTCAACCAAAACCAATTGGAAATCTTTAATTCTTCATCTAGATGGCACCCTGATGGAACATCATCACAATGTAATGTTGGTGTGCATGCATAGATTGAAAGGTTGAAGATGAAGAGAAAAAGTAGGCTAATTTTATGGTATCAACATGTTAGAAATGACACAAGAAAGAGTATTTATAGTTAGGAAAAGTTTAGGGCAAAAAGGATTGATTCGGAATAAAAGAAAATGAAAATTTGACCAAAACAGAAATTTATGTGTCGGCCTTAAAATCGTATGTGTCGACACATACTTTATAAAAAAGACTGCATGTGTCGATCTGAAGGACTCTATGTGTCGGCCTGAGTAAGTCAGTAGCTACAGGATTTAAAAAGTAAATGTGTCGACCTGAAATATAGATGTGTCGACACATAAAATAAGAATTTCTGTAATTTCAGAAATCTTTCAGTATGTGTCGACCTGTATGATGCATGTGTCGACCTGTGACTTACATAACCTCACATGCTTTAAAACGAAATTACATATGTTGACTTGAAACTCAGATGTGTCGACACATGCAAGGCAAAAACGTGCATAAAGTGTTTTTCAATGAGTTTGGTCAATTTCAAAGTGCTTTTTGATGGTTCCTAAGACCTATGATGAAGAGGAGTGCCACAAGACAAAGAGATACAATTAATTTTTTGTTGTGCCATCTTTCTCGGATTTGACATCATGCAAAACACCGTATATTGAAGTTGTACTCACAATGTAGTCGAATGACATCTTTTTATCAGATATGTAGCTTTCAAAACAGCCCCAACCCAAAAGACCTTCTTTAACCCAGCACTAGTCAGCATGCATCTCACTCTCTCATAGTTCGATTAAACCTTTAAGTCAAACCATTTTGTTGTGGAGTACCTGTAGTAGTTTTGTGCCTTATAATACCAGAAGTAGCACAAAATCTGTCGAAAGCCTCATTGCAAAATTCAAGGCCATTGTCATTTCTCAACATCTTGACCTTTCTTCCTATTTGATTTTTGACCAGAGTCTTCTAACTTTTGAAAATTATCAAATGTTTAATCCTTAATCTTCTGGATGAATACCCATAACTTTTTGGAATAATCATCTACTATGAATAGAAAATACCTTGCTCTTGAATGTGATGGACACCTTGCAGGCCCCTAAAGATCAACATGGATGTAATCAAGGGATCCATGTGTTCTTTGTTTGCCTTTGTTGAACTTCACTCTACATGATTTTCCAAGTACACAGGGTTCACAAAATTTCAACTTTTCGACTTTGTCTCCACTAAGCAAATTTTGTTTCCCTAATTTGACCAGACCCCTTTCATTGACATAGCCCAATCTCATGTGCCAAATTTTTGTCTTCGACAAAGGTTTCGTGGATATAATATTTGTCGAACCACTTAAAACTTAAACCTCAAGGGTATACAAGCCTTGCTTCTTCATGCCTCTCAAGACTTCATTCGACCCCTTCATAAATCTTAGGATATTTTTCTCTCCTTGAAAAACATATCTTTTCTTGTCGAGTTCACCAAGAGAAATCAAATTTCTCTTCAAATCAGGTACATACCTGACTTCAGCCAACAACTTTATTGACTCATCATGGAGTTTGAATCTCACAGATCAAACACCTCCAATCTTGCAAGCTTTGTTGTTTTCTGAAAATATAGATCCAACATCTTAATCACATGGCTCTTCGAATAAGTCTTTGTTTGGAGTCATGTGCCAAGTGCACCCAGAATCCATAATACACTCCTTTGATGGGTTGCTGCTCGAAACCACAAGAACATTAAATGAGTCAAAATCATCTTGAACAATAGATGTGTTGCAATTATCCTTACCTCCATGATCTTTCAGGCGTTCATGGCACACCTTTCTTGTGTGACCCTCCTTCTTACAATGATAGCATCGAATACTAGATGCTTCGCCATTGTAAGACTTATGTTGACTTTTACCTTTCTTCTTGTCGAACTTACCATCCTTTCGCAAGAATTTTCCTTTAACGGCCAAACCTTCACCAATTCTCGAAGGTTTATGCTCCTTTAGTTTGTTCAAGTCCTTAGAATACAAGGTTTATTGAACTTCTTCAAAGTTCATGGACTCTCTTCCATACAAGATAGTTTCTTTGAAGTGAATATGTGTTTTAGGCAAAGCGCACAATAGCAACAACACTTGATCTTCATCATCGATCTTCACATCAATATTTTTAAGATCAAGAATTAACTTGTTGAACATATCCAACTGCTCATCCAACACTTTGTCTTTAAGCATCTTGAATGAATATAAAGCATGCTTCAAGTAGAGTCGGTTTACTAGCGATTTGGTCATGTACAAACTTTCAAGTTTCACTCATAACCCTGATGTCGTCGTATCTTTTTATACCTGTCGAAGAACCTTATCACCAAGGCTCAACAAGACTTTTTTGCGGGCTTTCTCTATCATGGCTGTATTTTTCTTTTCCATTAATGCAGCATCCATGGTCATCACTCCCTTCAACGCTTCCAAACAACCATGCTGAATTAGTCGGGCTTTCACCTTCAAGCGCCACAGATCAAAATTGTTCACTCCGGTGAACTTTTCAATCTCATACTTTGTTGAAGGCATCTTCTCCATGCTCACGACACCAATTTGTTGTGAAATACAATACCTTTGAAACAAAGTATAACAGGGTTCTTCAAGGCAAGAAACCCACAAGGATAGAAAAAGAATGAAAAACACGAAGAACAACAAGGATTGGTTATTAAATTCTATTCTTTACTTTCTCTTCAAACAGATTACAAGTACACAATAATAAAAAATAACCCTCTCACCCTAAATTAGGATTTGCAGTATGTAATGATGAGAGACTAGTATGTTGTTTATAATAAACTTAACATACTAAACTAACGGGCTTTTTCACAAATACCCATTACAAGCTAACTTAGGGTACAAGCTAACTTAAACAATTGGACACAACAAACAAGCCCAATTCAAAATACTAACAACCCTAACATTTTGATACTCACATACTAGAACACACTTCGACTACAGTATGTAGGTCTTCGACACCAGCATGTGAACATATTTCGACGACATGCATAAATCATGTCGAACTAGAAGTTACTCTTCAATTCAATAAAGTTTGATCCAATATCTCACATATATTATCATAAGGTGAAGAAACATACGATTTCCCCATTATAATAGGTTCACATCAAGGTTCAATCATAAGCCCTAGCATAAGATTACCTGCATACAATTGGCATATCTTCTGGTTTAGGTGAAAAAGTAGCCATGTTGCAAAGGAATTAATGTTTCCAAGTAGCTGCAACTGCATTGTATAGTTTAATATTACTAAAATACATAAAAGGTTTTGGTTAACGAGTATAAAACTGACTTCTTCACCTCATTATCTTGTTCAAAAAAACTTAACACCTCATTTGTTCATCTGATTCAAAATACTCAGAGGGATGTCATGATTTACAATCTGAATAAATCATACTGTCAGAGATGCATCTCTAACGGTTTCAACAACTACTTTGAGTGCACGTGGATCTTTAACAATGTTAGAAAGATCTATAACTGGAATAGCAAATGAAAACCAAATTTCGATAACCAAATGAACATATTAATTGCAAACAAACAAACTAATAATAAATTAAATTCGTTAAATTTATATCCAAATAAACAAACATATTATAAGATAAATGACAAAAACTTATAAAGATTAAAGCATCGTAGTATGAAATCGTCAAGCTTGTGTGCAAGTTAAAGAAAGAGTACCCTGCATATGCCAACATCCAGTCCCGAATAGAAGATCAAATAGAAAATCTGCACATGCCAGTCACTTCTTCACAAATATGAAAGTGCGTCCTGCATATGCCAACATCTCGATTCCTAGTTCCGTTAATTAACCCAACTGTCTGAGTCATGAATTTTCTGTCTTGGCCTGTTACAATGGTGAATTCGCGGTTGGAAAAAATACTTTGACATTATCACTCGCAGTGGCCCTCTGACAATGGGGCGACCTGTATGTTGTATTTGCTTGTCGGAGGTCTCGCCCGTATCAACGGTCATCCTAAAGCATGAGAACCATGTTATGTCAGACAAGTGAACATCTTTGCATTTTTTAAGATTATAAACAAACATATTAAAATGTGACGCTTTTTGATACCTTCAGAAATCATGTCTACAGCACAACGCAGGATAAAGAATAACATGTAACCCTAAATCAAAATCTATTCACTAAACTATTAGGTTTCATGAGACAAAGATGTGACTAAATGACGAATAACATTTAAAAATATAAGTTAATTGAACAAAAATTAACAGTTTACCAAGTATGCTCTTCCATACAGAAATATATATTGTGAGGACTGTCATCTGCCTAATAAGAAATCAAATAAAGTAAATGGACAAAAAAAAAACAGTCAACATCACCATTTTTTCCAAGAAATTATGAGAGCTTAAGAACTATACGATGGTACAAACATAATAACCAATAGTTGTGAAGTAGAAAGAAAGCATTCTGAAGAAATCAAACAGTTTTTTGAGCCTGTAAATATCTCTGTGAAGCACTTGCTCTCCATTACCACTTGCTACTTTCCCTTTAAAGAGGCAAATCTGGTTTAAACCAACATCCCTTCATTTTCCAACCTAAAGAATGTAAGAGCAATTAGTAAATGGAAAGGTTACATGGAGATGAAGTCAGAAAGTATATGCAGTGTACTTGTATATTCAACCTGGATGTATTCATGGTGCGTGAAATTTCTAAGCCGCAGTGTAGATTTGAAGCCTGTAAAGTGCATTTATTTCTCAATTTCACCAGATTAATCATATAGAACAAAAGCATATAGATGAGTATATTAAAAAGAGACTATTAAAAATTTGAAAATCTGATGCTTTTTGATATCTCCACAACATCGACGCCAATGTCCCAATCTATGTTGCAATAAAGCCGAAATAATCACCAACGTCACAATCTAGAAAAACACATTTTCATAATTTTAGAAAATTAAGCAATTCAGTTCTCAAAACTATCCAAATTCGAGAGACCAAAATAAAATTAATTGACTCATACAATTTGAATAACCAAATTAATTCTACTCCAATACTAATTAATATCAAATATTCATTTCAGAACATGATAAACATAACAATTCAACCGTTGCAAATTAAACCTAAGAACCTTAATAAAAAACCAAAAAAGTTTTTTTTATATAAAAAAAAAAGAATAAGCTTGAAACCTAGTAGAAGATAGTTAATCTCGCAAGTGGCGCTGTATATTTTTTACTAAAAGCTCTGACAACTCCTCTGGCGATGAGCTGAGAAAGCGTCTCAATCTATTGCGGTGGCAATTCTTTTTGCTTCAAAGTGTTTAAAGCTTTGCGGTGGTGATCTACTATAGTTACCCACAAGTTATTACCGAGTTAGTAGAAGATGAAGAGAGGGAATAGAGAAGAAAGAAGAGGAAGAGGAAAAGAGGGAAGAAAGAAGAAGAAGAAGAAGAAGAAGAAGAAGAACCGAGAGAGAGAAAGAGAAAAAAAAGGATGAGAAAGAGAAAAAGGAAGGTACGATTAAAAAATAGTTTGAATTTTGAATTTTGATTTAAAGGTGTTATTGGATTGTAATCAAGTGATGTCATCATCCCATTTTCAAAGAGAGGGAACAAAGACATACTAGAGTAAAAATGTAATTGAAATAGAAGGAAATGACATCATTGGTTGAAAAAAGTATTTTTTGGATACAAAATACCCTTAATTTGGTGAGGTAGAAGATGGAGAGTTTGAGGTAGATGTGGTGTTTCCAAAAACAAGTTAGGTTTTATTTATATAGTAGATATGCAAACTTGTAATAACTATTGAAAATACAATTGGAAAACATATGAATTACTTTAAAAATAAAAATAAAATAGCATTATACTAATTTAATTTAAGGTTAAATAAGTTTTTGGTCCCTCTAAATATCTCAAATTTCATTTTTAGTCCTCTAAAATTTTCCTTCAAAGAATGGTTCTTCTAAAATATTAAATTTTAACTTTTGGTCTCTCCTGCAATTTAGCGACGTTTTTACAACTTAACGACGATTTTAGCGATAATTTTAGCGACGGTTTATATTGAGCAACGAAATTAGAGACCATTTTAGCTACGATTTTGTCTGAAGGGACTAAAAGTTAAAATTTAATTTTTTAGGAGAATTATTCTTTGAAGAATAAAATTTAAAATATTTAGAGGGACCAAAAAGTTATTTAACTTGTACAATGTCTAGGGGTGGTAAAATGGGTTGGGCCCACCGAGTTGGTCTGTTTGACCCGCCATTTTTGACTGGTTCGGCTGAGGTTTTTGGCTAGGTACTTTAGTCCGTTCCGCCTAACTTGCTTTAAAAATCGGGCCGAGGCAGGACGAGGTGGGTTTTCCCCGCAGACTTTTGGTTAAAATTTTTACTCTTTTTATTAAGAATTAAAACAACTTTAACTATAAAAGCAACACTTATCTCTTAAGATTGTATTATAAATTATTATACAAACAAATTGAATTATAACTGTAACGTTCTTTCTATAACTTTCTAATACATGCGTTGATTGAAAATAATTGAAAAAAAAGAACAAATGTATGACATGCATAATTATTAAGTTTTCAATATATTAGCTCAAATATATATATATATATATATTTTAAATAGATGTTAATTTTAAGAAAAGAAAGAATTTGATTAGTGTATAGTGTCACAAATTTAGGATTTAACTATTAAAGAATCGGTCAATAAAAGAGTCTATATAATATAAACAGTGAGAAAGTTCGGTGTTGATATTTTACGCATTACTATTTTATGCACTTTGATATTTTATGCAATGTTATTGTTATCATTGTTGATTTTGTGTAAATTCTAAATTGAGTTCTTTTAGTAGTTAGTTTTTAAATAGGATTAGCATGATATGTATTGTTTATTTATTTTGATATTTTTTTATTGTGCTTGAGTTTATTTTTATTTTTTTTTCTAATTGGTCTTTATTTATTAAATTTTTTTTAAATTGTTTAGACTTAAGAGATCTTAAAATCCTAAATTATGTATTAAATCAAATTATAAAATTAAAAAAATAAAAAATTAATGGATCGGTCTGTCAATCCATCATTAGTAAACAGAACGAACTTTACTTTTAAACTCGGTCTGTTACGTTGATCCGTCCTGTCCGATCTCATTTTTGAACAAATTTTATCAGAACGGATCTAAACGAGACATGCCGCTTACCACCCATAAGAATGTCTATTTCATTAGGGGGGGTCTTACCCCTTTCTCACACACATCACAAAGGCGCGTGAGAGTGAAGACCATGACAAATAAAAGTGACTGAAAACGGGTTTGGCACTGACTCACTCTCAGTCTCACTTTGTTTGTTTGCACGTGACTCACCTGTGCTCTCTTCATATAATGGTCCATCATCGTCCTATATACACCACACAATAAAATATCTATGGGAGGATATGCTGTTTTCATCACAACCTTCCAACTAAGAATTTCTTCCCTATTTTGTACTACACCTATCACAAAACAAAAACAACTAGATACATGTATCATCATCATCTATTGTCTCATAAATCATTATCAAAGTTTATGCAATTTGCTTTGAGTACAATATAGGATACCGAAACACATGAGAACAAAATAGATGCAATTAACTAATTACTTAATTAATATTATCATAGATAATACTTAAAAATAATTCATATGCATAGTTAAAAATACTATGTTATGTTTTTGTTTGCCATAAAAAAATCACTTTTTAAAATAGTCAGGTATTGGAAAATATCTTACAAAGAAGTTGTTCAAAACAACTTATTATTCGAATCATTTTTAAATATTTTTTTTTCAGATTCTCGTTTTAAAAATATATATAACAAACATATTTAAAATTTTAAAACTTATTATACGTCCGTTTGTTTTAGATTTTAACAAATAATCTTTTTATATTTTTAAAAATAATAACATTATTATGAACTTATTTTTTATATATTAAAAGAATAATGTTGATATTAGACTACACGAAATTTACTTATTAACCACAGTAAAATAAATATGGTTAATGTTTTTTATTTGTCACAATTTAATTGTGGTTGACTTAACATTACCAAAATTTCTGTCAATGCTTAAAATATAATAGTTATTTTTGTTTTGACCGTAAATAAATTTTAAAAATTTAAAAGAAATTGATCTGGTGAATTTGTGACTAAGAAAAACGCATTTATTTCTTTTATCAAACTCTCATATTCATACATTTTGTATAAGTTTGATTCTGAGGTATTTGATTCTTCTAAAATATTATTGATTTTGTTTTCAATTTTTTTTTTTTACTTAAAGTTATAATTTGTAATTTTTGAGTTTAAACATAATTTTTATATTGAAATTTACCGTACAATTTAATTTTATATAAAATTAAATTCAAACATAAATCATTTGAAATTTAACTCACTTTTTAACCAAAATTAATTTTTACAAAATCAATTCTTTCGAAATTAATTTTTTTCACTATAGAATCAATCATATATTTCATTATTTTCTTCCTTTATTTTAATTTTATTTTCTCTCTCAATTTAGTCAAGTGATGTTTCGTTTCTTTTTCGCTTGTACTCAAATCAATTAAGAAAATGGTTAATAAATTACATTTAAATCATTTAATCAATTTAGCCAAGATTAACAAATGGTTAACAAATTTGTACCGATTAAAAAGTGCAGGTGTGTGTTTCCTTTGCAAGGACAGAGAGGCTTGTAGGTCTTAGTAGGTATATAACATATTTAAGTAGTGAAGGCTTACTCACGACACTGAAAAATCTTATGCGGTGGTTTTTGAGGTTGTTTAAAGGACTAACTCACGTGAGGTGAGAGGCCCTGTTGGTGGCCGCCGCTGCTATGTTGGAAGTGAACAATAAGATTGATAGTGTGTAATGCTCTTTGAATAGTGGAAAGTGTGTATGACTTATAATCCGTATTTTCCACTTGAGGATAAATGTATTTATAGAGGCTTCTAGAGCTTGGGGTTCTCTCGAAAAAGGTTATCGCACATTAGTCAAATGGTGGCCAGTTGAATCCATATTTTCAAAAGACACGTGAATCAGTAATGATTTTGACTTTATCTTTATCCAAGACACGTCTTATCCCATGGTTTTTCTCGTGCGGACGATAAAAATTTAAGAGTGAGGTGTTACCTCCCACTGGGAAAACTTACAATGTCGTCCTCTCCTTGTTGGAACATACACAAACACTAGTGGTGAATCAATGGAGAATTTGTGTTAATTGAAGAAGATGGAATGAACAATAAGAGAGAGAGAGATAAATAGATAGATAGAGAGAGAGAGAGAGTAATTGAGGTTGAGGAGAAAATATGTAACAAATGGAATTAACTGAAATGTTACAACTTGAGGGATATTTATACAAGCCAACAAAATTATTGGGAAACAAAACAACTTAAAAAATAAGCTAAAAAACCCAAACACAGGTCTGTAATCGGTTACGTCAAATGCCGTAACCGATTACGCCTGCGATAAACAGAATAACAGAACTGAAACTATATTTGTGCAACTGGTTACACCTTTTT